TTGTGTATCATCGGTGGGGGCCGCGCTAAAGGCCCCCGCGGTGGCCTTGCGATGAAGAACGCCGCCCTCGGCAGTGGCAAGGCGAGGGTGCTTTATTCCTCACTTCTCACTTTCGTTGAACAGCGACGATTCTCGTGGGCAACAAAACAATTCCAGTGAAACTCCGCCGCGTGCGATTCGAGTGACCGACGTCCCTTGCCCGCTCATCATCAACAGCGTGGTTCCCTCCCTTTCACTGCCCTCCTCTGTGCTTCCCCGCGACTCCAAAGACACCGCATACGTGCACCTGCTTCGTGCTACCCACCTGTTTGCGCTGTCCTTTTCGTTGATGGCACTGTTGGACTAAAATATAGAGCTTACCTTTCCATAACTTTTTCTCTTCTCCACTTGCTCACGTCATATTGGCACGGGTTTCTTTTTTTTTATTCGCGCGTTTCGCTTTACGGCCGCTAAACATACTCTATGTTAGTTGTGCGATATTACTGAAGGATTCTGCACTCGTTCTCTGAAGTAAATTCATGTTTTTTGTATTTTGTTTTATTGTTGATGCGCTCACGCACCACGGATCTCCCTTGTAAAATAGCCGGGCAAATGGCTAACGGGACCATCATCCGTGAGCCTTGCGCGCGTTATCGGCTACAACACAATTTCCATTCCCCAAATACAATCCTGTGAATCAGTCGGTAAACAAATTGCCAGCGAAAGACGTGCAACTCATTAACTGGCAAGAAACTGTCATAAACTCCTGCACGGAGAGTTAATATATGAAATCACCCTTGATGCATATTGACCGACAGCTTGAATGTACACACACACAGAGAGCATCCACACGTATATGCGGAGCATCATTAGGTAATGCACGCAGTGCGTTAATGTACAAATAGTCTGCGTACATAATACACACGGACATGTTATACATGCAGAGCATTTGTATTCATGAACGCAGACCATTGATAGTGCTTTGTGTGGATATACAGTGAGGGAAAAAAGTATTTGATCCCCTGCTGATTTTGTACGTTTGCCCACTGACAAAGAAATGATCAGTCTATAATTTTAATGGTAGGTTTATTTGAACAGTGAGAGACAGAATAACAACAAAAAATCCAGAAAATCGCATGTCAAAAATGTTATAAATTGATTTGCATTTTAATGAGGGAAATAAGCATTTGACCCCTCTACAAAACATGACTTAGTACTTGGTGGCAAAACCCTTGTTGGCAATCACAGAGGTCAGACGTTTCTTGTAGTTGGCCACCAGGTTTGCACACATCTCAGGAGGGATTTTGTCTCACTCCTCTTTGCAGATCTTCTCCAAGTCATTAAGGTTTCGAGGCTGACGTTTGGCAACTCGAACCTTCAGCTCCCTCCACTGATTTTCTATGGGATTAAGGTCTGGAGACTGGCTAGGCCACTCCAGGACCTTGATGTGCTTCTTCTTGAACCACTCCTTTGTTGCCTTGGCCGTGTGTTTTGGGTCATTGTCATGCTGGAATACCCATCGACGACCCATTTTCAATGCTCTGGCTGAGGGAAGGAGGTTCTCACCCAGGATTTTACGGTACATGGCCCCGTCCATCGTCCCTTTGATGCGGTAAAGTTGTCCTGTCCCCTTAGCAGAAAAGCACCCCCAAAGCATAATGTTTCCACCTCCATGTTTGACGGTGGGGATGGTGTTCTTGGGGTCATAGGCAGCATTCCTCCTCCTACAAACACGGCGAGTTGAGTTGATGCCAAAGAGCTCCATTTTGGTCTCATCTGACCACAACACTTTCACCTAGTTGTCCTCTGATTCATTCAGATGTTCATTGGCAAACTTCAGATGGGCATGTATATGTGCTTTCTTGAGCAGGGGGACCTTGCGGGCGCTGCAGGATTTCAGTCCTTCAGGGCGTAGTGTGTTACCAATTGTTTTCTTGGTGACTATGGTCCCAGCTGCCTTGAGATCATTGACAAGATCCTCCCGTGTAGTTCTAGGCTGATTCCTCACCGTTCTCATGATCATTGCAACTCCACGAGGTGAGATCTTGCATGGAGCCCCAGGCCGAGGGAGATTAACAGTTCTTTTGTGTTTCTTCCATTTGCGAATAATCGCACCAACTTTTGTCACCTTCTCCCTTCTCACCAAGCTGTGTGCAATGGTCTTGCAGCCCATTCCAGCCTTGTGTACGTCTACAATCTTGTCCCTGACATCCTTGGAGAGCTCTTTGGTCTTGGCCATGGTGGAGAGTTTGGAATCTGATTGATTGCTTCTGTGGACAGGTGTCTTTTATACAGGTAACAAGCTGAGATTAGGAACACTCCCTTTAAGAGTGTGCTCCTAATCTCAGCTCGTTACCTGTATAAAAGACACCTGGGAGCCAGAAAACTTTCTGATTGAGAGGGGGTCATATACTTATTTCCCTCATTAAAATGCAAATCAATTTATAACATTTTTGACATGCGTTTTTCTGGATTTTTTTGTTGTTATTCTGTCTCTCACTGTTCAAATAAACCTTCCATTAAAATGATAGACTGATCATTTCTTTGTCAGTGGGCAAACGTACAAAATCAGCAGGGGATCAAATACTTTTTTCCCTCACTGTAGGTTAATATTCTGTGTACATGCCCACAGAGCATTATTACATGCGCACACATCCTTAACACATATACACAGCGAACACGAATACACAGCGAACATTGGTACATTCAGATAGATAATTAATATACACACAGCGTAAATGCACACACGACAACATTATTGCATACACACGGGATGTTAACGCACGTGCACATACATTATCCATACATAGCTTTAATACATACACACATAAAATATATACATACACAAAGAGCATCATAGATTACACATGGGAACATTACAGCAACAAAGACCAAGATCCCCCGTATAGCCTGTAACAGGCTGTTGGGGCAAGTGCTGTAAGCGAGCACGTATGAAGGCCGACACGGCACACGAGGGGGTGGGTGGCCAACACCACGCCCGGCCGCCTTTGTCTCCCCAGTGCATCGGGTACTCATTTGAGGCTTAGTCGACCTCGGAGAAGCCCAGGACAGGTTCAAATAATCGTCACTGGTGTTGGCCGTGAGCGGGAATCGAACTCAGGTTTGCCGGATTCGTAGCGCGGCGCGCTAACCGCTACACTACCGCTCCACACATTACAGCAACACACACACACGGAGCATTAAACATGTCGACCACTGATAAGCACACGTCACGGATACAAACCCCGCACAGCTGATAGATAGGGCACGCTTGTCATTCTCCCGTCTTCCTGAGACGAGTGACATGGGGAGGTTGAGCGTGGCGTGGGTGATGGCGTGGGAGTGGTGAGCGAGGGTGATGCAGCGGGCGTGCGGGTGGGTGGGCCTGGGTGTCGTTCGCCAGTTGTGAGTGGGATCGATATCCCTTCATTTCAATCCAGTCTCCGTTTCAATGAAGACCTGGGGAATTTTAAGACATGGACGTGACGTCGGAGTGAGTGGCCAGGTTAGAAGGTGCTCTGGGCTGCAAGGCGAGCGAGCGCTTGCGCCACAGATCCTCGTGTTATCGCTCTGGTTAGCGACGGGTCCTCTGCTCATCGCCTCTACATCCGACGGAGCGATGCCAAATGCGCCCGATGTCGTCAGACCTTGGAAGCCACGTTGGGGTTTTTGGTCTGCTGCGTGTTTGGATGGTTGGAGGCTGCCACGGGAACAACGGGCGATGTGTCGACGTGGAGCTGCGAGATGACCAGGAGATGGGAGTGCAGCGGTTTGCTGAGTCTATCTGTGCGGAGTGTCGAGCGTTCGGCACTCGTATGCTTGGATCGGCGTGTTCGCCAGGGACTCCGATTACCGGAGAGACATCCCCAATGCACGACCCTAACGGAAAATAAACGAGTCTTCGTGACTCATTAAAGCTTTCTTGTATAAATAAACGGTATTGTTATTACGTCTCTGGCTACGTTGCTTTCTCCGCTTCAACTCACGTACGTATCAACACCGACGACACATGGGACTTAATTACAGCGCGTTTCCCACCCCCCAAACCCCCCCTCACCTCCCTCCCCCCACCGCTTCCGCCCCGCTCACTGCCCCCCCCCCCCCCCTTCGTAATTACTCACGCAATTGTTTCCACCGCAATGATCATAAGCGAGTCGCGATGCGCGTTGTGCCTAATTGTAGGAGCATATAACCGACTTCACGAATTCTCCCCGACTAGAATAGCCAAGATCCCAAGACACCGATCGCAGTGCTTGAAGTTATGCCACTGTGTGTCCGCGTCACGGTGCCAAATTTGGTCAATTACTGCCAATTGCCACGTTTGGCGCGAGATGGGCCCTCCTCGAACACTCCCCGGGTGCAGAGATGAGCCTAGACGAGCCTGCCGAGCCGGGAGGGGGGCCCATCCGGGGACAGTCCTGTCCAACACATCACTTGTCATACGGATGGATGGTGGTGGTGGTTGTGACGATGTAGCGGTTGTATTTTTTACGATGATGATGCTGCTGATGTGGTTGGTGGTCATGCATTATAATGATGGTGGTGTTGGAGATGATGATGATTGTGGTCTTCGTCATTATAATGGTGGCTGCGATTGTGATGATGATGATGATGGTGGTGGTGTGTCGGAAGAACCCGCGTCAACTCTACCCCAATTCAAACCAAGCTCCGCCCGCGTTCCCCCAGCACGCCAACAGGAGCTCGCTAATTACGCGACGTCTGCTCCGCGCAGCCAATTGGAGGCGCGCGGGACGCGAGCCCGAAGCCGCACCTGTCACGACGCGAATGAGGGAGCGGCGCGGAATGAGCGGATGATGGATGACTTCCCGCGGGAGCGGCCCTTTAATTCATCCCTCCTACCCTACCCTCCCTCCCCTCCCATCCCACCCCGGCCACCACCACTGCTACCCCACCATCCACTCTCACACCCCCTCTCCACCTCCCCCCCCTTTCTTCCACACCCCCCCCCGGCTCCCCGCTGAGCGCGCCTCCTCCTCTCCCTCCTCCTTCCCCGTCCCGAGGCGGCATGAGAGCGCGTGGGGAAAAGCAGCAGCGCGGACGAGGCGCGGCCGCAGAGCGGACGAGGACGCGGCACGAACGGCAGCACCACGGGCGTACGAGGCGCGCGAACGCAGCGGAGTCGGGCACGCGAAGGGATCCGCTCCGCCCTGTGCAGCAGCAGCAGCAGCAACAGCAGCAGCGGCAACAGCAGCAGCAGCAGCAGCAGGAGGAGGAGGAGCAGGAGGAGACGCGCGCAACGAGGATGATGCAGCGACCCTTGGGCGCCGCTTTCAGCATCGACGCCCTGATCGGCAACTCGCCGCCGCCGCAGCCGCACAGCGCCCGACCCTTCCTGTACGCGGGTTACCCGGTCTTCCTGCCCTACCGGCCCGTGGTCATCCCCACCCCAGCGCTGCCCCACACCGCAACGCTGCCCGCCGTGCCCACGCTCAACCCGCTGCCGCTGCCCAACAGCTTCTATGCGTCGCTGCCGCAGGGCCTGCCCACTGTGAGCTCGCTGCCCACGCTGCCCGGCGGGGAGGAGTGCGCCAAGGGCTTCTCGGACGAGCTGCACGGCACGAAGCTGCCCCTGCAGCTGCAGGGTCACCGGTTCGGCCTCGATGTGCGGCGTGACGTGGGGGACGGGGAGCGGATACCGACGCCTGGTCGGGACCGCCACTCCGCGTTCCTGTGCCGGGACTCGAGGCTCGACTCCATCGGTGCGTCGCCGCGTTTCGCTTAATAAACATCCTGCTGTGGCTTTGTTACACGGAACGTCGGCGAGAGTGTGGGCGGTGGTTAGGGTGCTTCATGTGTGTGTGTGTGTGTACATCTGTGTTCGTGTATGTATTGTGTGTGTACTGGTGTGTGTATGTGTCGACTCGCCCTTAAATTAGTCCCTGATGCGGTGTGTAAACATAAGCATTGGGGATACAAAGACGGACGGCCACAGTGCTGCTCACCCACCCCCTCGTGCGCTGTGCTGCTTTGATTTGTACTCACTAACTGCGCTCTCCACATCAGATTTTGCAGGCTTACATGAGGGATAGTCGTCTTTGTATACGTGTTCATTTATCTAGAGGCACTGCTATGCAAGTGTACGTGTAAACTTGTTTGTGTGTCCGTACGCACAGGTTATCCACGTGAGCAAGTGGATGTGTGCACTGTGTGTGTAAGCACTTGTTTATGCGTCCGTGTGTACGCATGGGTTATCCGCGCGTGTGTAAAACACATTGTGTGCGCTTATGTCTCGCCGTTCTGTGTGTGTGTCCATGCAAGCGCATGCGTGCGCACGTGTGTGTGTGTGTAATTAATGTCTCGTGTTTTATACGAACACGTGCGTCTGTCTTTGAGTGCGTCCGGTAAGAGCATGCAGCCTACCGCTCCGATTATTATTATTATTGTTGTTATTTTTGAACTCTCGTTTCCGGTGGCCCTTTGGGCATCATCACATGACCCGCAGATGACAGTCGCGTGTTCGTAGAGCTCTCTTATAGTCACTGTCTAGTGGAGGTGTTTAAGCGGTCAAAACAACAACAGCAGCAGCAGCGCCAACTGCAACAAGGGCACGCGCAGTTACTTCTCGTGGTTGTGTTCCTCTCGGTGTCGCCTAAACACCCCCCCGCCCCCTACCCCCACCTCGTGGTGTTTACGTTCAATTCACCGCTTGTAGACGTAAACAATGGACCCGACTAGCGGGTTGACGAATGCTTCGGTTTCTTCCGTTCGAACATTTCCCCCCAAAACGTTGCCGAGGCTCCCATCAACAACAATGGGGGACTGGAGGGGTGGGGGGGGTAGTTGGGGGGGGGGGGTCAAATCGTCAAGACCATGGGGCAGGGGTGGGCAACCTGCGGCTCCCGAGCCGCATGCGGCTCTTGAACGGACTACCTCGTGACCTTGTTCATTTAGGGCCCACCGTCTCGTATTCACACGAATCGCCGCTCTTGAAATGTTGAATTTGTTATTTTTTTCTCTCTCTCTCCGAATTTGAAGGAAACAAAAATGTCCGTCTCTTCTTGTTATCTTGATGGCCCCATCCCTGACCATGTGTTAATATCACCCCCCCCCCCCCGCGTTAAACGCGGGGTTTTTGTTGTTGGCTATCTCAAGTTGGGGGGGGGGGGTGGTGGTACCATCACGTCAAGAGTGGCCTCCCATCGATCCATGGTTGCAAGTGCGAGTGTGCCCCCCCCCCCCCCCGTACACTGTCTACTGTATTGACTTACTCCTGTTGTAGCAGGTGTTCGCCGTTGTGCTGTTACAGCTCTCACCATCGATGTGAGCGTTTCGAGTATTTACCGCCCGTTGTTCGGCATTGATGGTCCGACGTTTCGCTCCGCGTTCCGGGAACTTCTTATTCAAGACGTGGAGCGAAACGTCGGGCATCACGGCGAACGATACAACCAGAAATCAACACACACACACACACCAGGGAGCTAAGTGTGAGTTTTTATCCTATTTGAAGTGGGCGTAGCGGTGGCTAGGAGATGTGAACTACCTCGCCTGGTATACAGGAGGTCGTGAGTTAGATCCCGACCCTGACACCTGCTCTCTATTTGGAGTTTGCATGTCCCTCTCTCCGCGTGGTCGCGTTGATTTTTCTCCGGGACCTTCGGGTTTTCCCTCCGCATTTATAAAAACACGTTTAGAGTGTTTGACCGCGATACATGTCCACGTGATAAGCCACTTCGTAGAGCTATCATTTGTGGCGAGGTCGCCTCTGAAAAAGAGCTTCATAGCTCAGTGGGCCTTGCCTCGGAAAATACATTTTTTTTAGCTTCCAATGTAGCGAGATAACGGCGGCGTGAACTCTGTAGTTGACGCGTCAGCTAATGTATGTACGAGTGCCATTGAGGATTGGTCCGTGCTCTGTGCAAACGACACGGTTCTGGCACAGCGTCAATTGATGCACGGCCGGTGGTGTATCACCACTTTCGGTCGTCTATTTTGTGTCACGGTGTTGTTGCTGATGTTATTATTGCAGCGTCTACTACATCAACTGATTGAGCTCATGTTGAAGATCATGCAGCACATGTTGCATCGGTAGCTAACATGTTGACGCTATGATCAAAGGGTCATCGCCCGAAACTGTTGCCTATGTATACTTGCTTTTCTTTTGGGGGGGGGGGGGCGGTGTTTTCGACGAATGTGAGATTTTTGGTTTGTTGTTGCTTAAACAGCAGCAGCATCACCAATTGTTGTGTTTTATATCTGTGCCACATCCGGTTCCATCGTGTGCATCGCTGCCGCATATACCGATGCATGTAAGCTACGTTCTAAAATGTAAACATTCAATGTTTACATGGTGTGTGCGGTTAGGAGTAAGATAAATCTCACTTTACAGGCGGAATTTGCGGCAATAGGTAATTGAGTTTGTTCATAATGCGAAAGTGTTTTATATATATAAATAGTAATGTACGAACCTTTATTCATCCATTCTTTGATGAACACTTCCCAAAGCCGCGCCGGTTATGTGGGTTATTTGACCGTGCTTCATCACGTTGGTGAGTGAGTGAGGTTTTGGCGAAGGCCAGGGTCCTCGTCAAATATCACTCGCCGCTGATTTTTAGCCGTGGTCGGGAATCGAACTTGTGGTTGGCCGGTCTCATAGTCAACAACTACGCCACTACTCCATTATAAATACTTGTATTCAACTGAGAACAGATTTGACGTTTAGACTGTGGGTTGACATCCTTACAGCATTGATTTGTGTCCCAGGTTACTTTTGACAAAGACTTGTTGTGTATAAACTAAACTATGTTTTATTTTACCAAGTAATGCCCACTGAGGTATACAGCTCTTTTTTTCAAAAACGACGTGGCCACAAAGATAGCTCAACGAAGTGGCTTATCATTCTGTGGAAATTGATATCAGCCAAATACTCTAAATGCGTATTTCTAAATGTGTAGGGGAAAAAACCGGGGGACCCGGAGAAAATGTTAAACAACCAGGGGAGAGAGAGAGATACCGTCAACTCCAAATATACAGCAGCAGCAGGCGTCAGGATCGAGCCCACGACCTCCTGCATACCGGGCGAGGGAGATAACATCTCGCCACCACGGCGCTTTCCATGCCTGGTTTACATATAGGGTATCTGTCTCTATATATATATACACATATATACACATGCAACACGCGGCACGCATGCAACGCGTGTCTGCTTTATCGCGTTTAGGATGTTCCCAAGTCGTCTTTAGGTCGCTCTGTGTTTACCGCATTCAATACAAATGCTGTGGGGTCGCTTTGTTGAGCGCCGAGTGGTTATTTTGCGACTCAAGGGAGATAGATTTATATTTGGCTAAACAATTTTTTTTTACCAACCCGTGTGGAAGTGTCACTTGCGTTACTCAACGTTCAGAAATGAGACGCAAAAGGCACGGCAGTAGATGTCACAACTTCAACAGCAGCAACAACAGAACCCCTCAATTAAGTGGCCGCGTTTGACTCGTGCAATTAACTGTGATTTAATAGATAATTGTACGACTTGAATTTCAGCGTTACAAAACTCCTCATTGTCTACAGAAAGAACAACTTTACTCTCAAGGGGTCAGAGTTGTTGCTGCTTTTGTTGTTGCGTGTGTACATGTATGTGTGTGAATGACTATCTTATACTATACACCCCCTCGCGTGCCGTGTTGGCCTTCATAAGTGCTCGCTTAACAGCACTTGCCCCAAGATTGTGTTTTATATATATACAGAGGGGTTCTTTGTCTTTGTTATGCGACATCCACAGTGGTCGCGTGGGTTTTGTTTTAACGGTGGATGGTATTTGTACTTTTCTAATACCGACCACAACGATGTGTGTGTGTGTATATCTGTGTGTGTCTTCATTGTAGCGGTTAGCGCGCGCTGCGCAATGAACCGGGCCACCCGAGTTCGATTCCCCCTCGAGGCCAACACCAGTGATGATGATGATCCGAACCAGTCCTGGGCCTCCCCTTAGTCGGCTTAGCCTCAAATGAGTACATTGTGCAACGTGTAAAATATCGCCACTAGAGAGACAAAGGCGGCCAGGCGTGGTGCTGGCTATCCACCGCTTCGTGTGCCGTGCCGGCTCCCATAGATGCTCGCTAACAGCACTTGCCCCAACAGTCTGTTAATGCTACACGGGAGGCCTTTGTGCTATATCTGTTTAACCGTGTTTGTGTGTGCGTGTGTGTTTTCATTATGGCGTAGTTAAAACAATGCAACTGCCTGCTTGTGTGTGTGGTGGTAGAGGTTAAATAATTCGTATTTATTTACGATGTTTTTTTTAAATAAACATCTATTTTACTGTCTGCATGGTTTATTTTTCTGTGTCTAGGTATATATGCGCGTGTATGTCTACCGTTGTTCTAGTAACCAGTGGCGGGCTTGGGCTTCTTTCTTTCGGCTTTCACATCACACTCCACGGAAGGTGAACGAATTTGGCTGACGATGAAGCGCGTATATCGTTACACAATGACACAATTTACAACGTCAGGCTGACCTTGTCCTAATCAGCGAAATCAATCACCGCCAGGCCCCTCCACTTTGGTGGTACAATTCAACAATTTTTATTTTCAGGTGTTAAATTCATTAAAAAAATATTACATTTCTATCCCATCTAGAGCATCATTCAAGTTCACACCAGGCACCAATGTCTACGTATACCAGATATTTGATTGTATATATGTATTGTTCGAAGTCATATATTGGGATCTGTTTTAATAATACGACGAGTTATATATGTTTGTGTTTACGTGTTTGCATAGGTATATATGTAATGAATCGTTGTGTTTGAGTGTGCGCGCGTGGTTTAACGTCTAGCGGCGACGCAGTGATCTGCGTACCGCGCTATTATACGAACCATACTACCCGGGTTCAATTCCCAATCACGGCCAACACGAGTGGCAGGTGTTTTCCGAATCAAGAATGTGTCTCCGTTAGTGAGACATCATCGAATAAGTGGCATAAACATCAGGACTGGGGGGGGGGGGGGTTACTAAATCAGCGGTGATGGCCAAGCCAAACACACGAGTTTGTGTGTGTGTTGAACTTATTTCGCGCACCGCACGTAGCCAACCGTGATCATCGGGAGTGCGGGGGAAGGACAACGACCTCCACACAACAAACCCGCACCGAGCCAGCATTTTGCTTCGTTGTAACCGTACACACTCGCCAACGCGGCGTGCACAAAGCGGAACTCTCTTCTGTGCCTCCCGCACACAAATACAACTCCGTCGGTTCCCTCGGCCCCTTGGCTTGACAGACCAATGCTATGCGCGTGTGGCATTCCCCCTAAGCAAGCACCAATGAGTGTATCTACTACACATTGGAGGGGGTTCCTTTGCCTTGTGTCCCCCCCCCCCCCCCTGGCGCCTTGTCGACACTAACGCGTGTTCCTCGCGCGCAGTGAACGTGAACTCTGACGATGACTCGGTGGACCCGGGCTGCGGGGATCGGCGGGGCAAAGACGACTCGTCCTGCGGCGACAGCGACCCAGAGTTCAGCGCAGCCGAGGACCACGCGACCCCGCTCGGCTACGCGCGACCCGACAGCCGCGCAACGTCGCCCTCCGACTGCGGGGGCGACCTCCTGCAGCAGCGGCGGGACGCGCTCAAGGCAGCCGCCGTCGCTGGGCTATCGGGGGCCGTGGGGACGGGACCGCCGGGTTCCGGGGGGCTCGGATCCGGGGGTCTCTCGACCGGAGCCGCCGGAGTCGCGGGCAAGAGCCGGCGGCGTCGCACGGCGTTCACGAGCGAGCAGCTGCTGGAGCTGGAGAAGGAGTTCCACTGCAAGAAGTACCTGTCGCTCACGGAGCGCTCGCACATCGCGCACGCTCTGCGTCTCAGCGAGGTGCAGGTGAAGATCTGGTTCCAGAACCGGCGCGCCAAGTGGAAGCGCGTCAAGGCGGGGAACGTGAGCGCGCGAGCCGGAGAGCCGGCGCGCAACCCCAAGCTCGTGGTGCCCATTCCCGTGCACGTGACACGCTTCGCGGTGCGCGGGCAGCACCAGGCCGGGGATCACGGGGTCCGGCCGTGACGGCCTGGCAGGGTCCGGCGAGAGGGGGAGAGAGGAGGCGGAAGGGGTGGTAGGGGTTGGCCGGATTTCCCCGGGGACACGATTTTCTACCAGAGTTGTTGTTGTTGTTACTAGCGTGATGGTGATGATGATCGACCCCCTCAACATCACGATTGCTACTGCCACCCATTATTATCGCTGCCACTGTCATTGTATTCACGACCACAATCACCACCGCTCTCATCATTCCCATCGCATTTGTATGACCGTCGTTATAACTATCATCACGACCAAAGTCATCATTATCCTCATCGTTACACATACTAACAATGCCGTCATCACTATCACTCTCACCGCCATCGTAATCGCAATCGCTACGATCACCGCCACCAACACGGCAACTAAGCACTTGCCCTTACAACCCTTGCCACGACTATCACAATCATTGCCATCACTACCATCATCATAAATGGAAGTGCTACCATTTGCAAGAAAACTACATCCTCCACTCCCAACTACCAAAATCCTCACCATCATCACCAACACTACTCACACATCCCTGTCACCCACCGTGATCTGCGCTACATTTCCACCCTCAACGCCACCAACACCACCACCACCATCATCACTACCACCGCAATCATATCCATCGCCACAACTCGCACAAACGCCAACGTAACCACAGTCATCCTCGCCACTGTCAACGCATCAGCCGTCGCCAGGTACCAACCTCGCCATCATTACCACAACCACCACCACCACCACCGCGAGCAGCAGCAGCAGCAGCAGCAGAGCGATGAGCAACCAACAGTCAGCGCTGAAGGAAGAGTGCGACTCGTAGGGACGGATCGACCTTTCCCGTCTGCATGGCCGAGTGAGGTGTTTTCTGGGTTTGTCATAGATTTGCATTGAGAGTACTGTGTTAATAACATGAGCACAGCGGTGTGAACAATAATCGATACAACAACAGCAGCGGCAGCAACAGGAGGTCGTCACGTGAAGTCAAAGATGACCACCGGTGCCCACAGGGGGGTTTTGTTCTGTTGTTGTTACGAGTAATCTTGTATCACGAGTGCTGAAACGTCGCAAGTGAAACGCGAGAAGACAAGAGACAGAACGCGACAAAATAAAACTTGAAAGTGTAACTATTGCATAGCTTCTAACGGTCGTGCTGCTATGAGAAAGCAGCTTCCCCCCCCTCCCCCCACGTGATGCGGTTGTTTCGGGTTGTACCGCGTGTTGTTCGGCAAAGGTGTACCGACGTTTCGCACCACTTACGTGCTGGGAAGAATCAGTTCGTGAACGAGCTAAACTACTGAGTCGATCAATCGGCATCGTGCTCGGCAAGGTGGCAGAGACCTCAGGTGGCGCCTCTGGGCTGACGGAACCAGGGTTGGTGGAACCAGGGTTGGTGGAACCAGGGATCGTGCACCTGGGCTGGCGGAACCAGGGTTGGTGGAACCGGGGATTGCGCGTCTGGGCTGGCGGAACCAGAGTTGGTGGAACCGGGGATCGCGCATCTGGGCTGGCGGAACCAGGGTTGGTGGAACCGGGGATCGCGCGTCTGGGCTGGCGGAACCAGGGTTGGTGGAACCGGGGATCGCGCATCTGGGCTGGCGGAACCAGGGTTGGTGGAACCGGGGATTGCGCGTCTGGGCCGGGCGCGTGCGAACAGTGAAGGGCGCGAGTCAAGCACGGGCCACGTGCGAGTTGATCCGGACCCATACCGGACATCTGTGAAGAAGAAAAAAAAAGAGCTTCATTAGCTCATCGGATTCTTCCTGCAGTCTAAATAAAGATTCTGAGCGAGCGGACGAACGCCTCTCACCAATGAAGGAACCTTTGCACTGACCGACTGCTTCTAAACATTCCGGGCGCTTAAACGAAGCTCCGTGATTCTCGAGACTCGGCGCGGCAAGGCCATCATTGGCCCTTCTTGCTCGTGTGTGCGTGTATGTATATACATACACACACGCACGCTTAGTATATATACACACACACAAATAAAACCCCGGGGTGTGTTGTACATATACAGTAATGCTGCTAGGTTAATTTACATCTAGCGAAGAGAAAGTGCCGGAGAAGACATAATTACGGATCGATGTGTGGATATGTAGCTGTAAATGTCCCCACAATTCCACTCCCTGCCCCCCAAAACCTCCAACTCCCCCCCACCGGGCCCTTACCTCCGTGTTTGTTATATTGATCTCAGACGTCGCCTGCATGTAATAGCTGTTTGTAGACTTGTTCAATATTATTAAATGGTGGCCGCTTTGTGTGCCGTGACGATAATCCTCCTCCACGCGACGTTGTCGACGATCGATCGCCTAAAGGTTTTTTTTTTTTGTGTATGCGGTGCGCAACCAAAAAAAAACAAGAAAAAAAGAAACTGCGATGCGGCCGTGGCCGCGTCCGCGGCCGCGTAACGGGGAGTGGCGGGGGACGAGGAAACCAGCGCCGATACGGCGTGTTGGTGGGGAGGGGGGAGTGGAGTCTCTTCACGTCGGTCGCGTTAGGACAGCGCGTTGTGTTGAAGACGCGTGCGTCTCGCGTGCGAAACCAGGGGGGGTCGCGTGGGCCGAATGAAAGCACCAGACGTTCGCCACCGAAGCGACGTTCGACGTCTACACAGCGCGTGTGCCAGGCTAGGTGCACCGTGAGGCGCTTTGCTGCATGCACAACCACAGACATGTACCACGCCGCGCTCGCGAACTGAGGGCGCCGCGTAAGGGCCAATCGCGGCCCGGCGGTGGCGCGCTCGCCACCTGTTGGGGTCTTGGGGACCTTCGCGGTTTTAACCAAGCGGCCGCCCCAGCTCATTGCTCGCGGGTGGAATAAATCGCAACGCGTGCCGTCTGCCTCGCGGCGGGACGTTCAAGGAAGACTTTGCACGGCGTCATTCGCAAGAGTGGGCCATTGTTTTTTTTTGCCGTGAAGGTCCAAATTTGGCAAAAAAATTCGAAAAGTGACCCCACAAATTACTCAATTACCAGGATTATACCGATAAATAGGAACCCCCTCCCAACTAGAAGACGAATGCCCCAGGTCACTCTTGAAAATTAGACTGATAGTTTATTGAGTTCTCACCTATTAATAGAAAATAAACTTGAAGCATATTTGCAGTAACATGCACACGCGCAGATGTAACGCTGCTTATCGTGTGCATACGGTACTTGTGTTGTGCATACGGTACTTGAAGTGAGTATACAGTACTTGTTGTATGTATACAGTACTCGTATGTATAAAGTACTTGAAGGAAGGAAGACTCGATGTGAAATTAAAATTACGCTCTTGTGTAGAATGATCGCGGCCTAACAACTTCGCGGTGTATAGATTGTATGTATGTACATTTCAAGTTGAAATAAATTATGTTTTTTTTTCCCTTCCCGATATAAAAAAAACCCGAAAAGTCATCGTGCCAACATGTTCGTGATGTCTCCTGTGAATTCACATAACGCGGCTGGCCTCCCCTCGCCTTTGCTGGACATCGGCACGTGAATGTTACATGTCATTGCGGAGATATATACACACACACACACGTAGATACATAGTAACACCTCGATTTACGTCTCCCCCTTTTACGTCGTTTCGAAAATACGTCGTCACTTTATCAATGACACCGCTACCCGATTTGCGTCGCCTCAATCCCGCTACTTACGTCGCTGACAGCATCGCCCGTCCTCTCTCGTTATCCGTCGCCTCCTCAGCCGTCGCCACCACCCTACCCTGTAAATCGCTTTTGGATTTACGTCGTTTCGATATTCGTCGTCGCACATTTCAGGAACGCATCCCCCGACGCAAACCGGGGTGTATATGCATAATAGTGCGAATGTCAATGTTGTAACGGGTGTGTAACGGATGCTGCAGGGGCGGCAGCAGCATCCGTTAATTCATCCCCACACCGTCGTGATGCCTCTATGAACGAGCTACGAGCGTGCAGTGCACAGTCCAAGGCTCGGTTTCCGCTTGCGCTCCGTGGCAAAAGAATTCCCCAGCGCCTCCCCCACGGGCATTCAATTCCCCGAGCGCTTGTCAGTTTATTCATTCGCGGGACGTTCAATGTGCGTGAGTGTGTGCGAGTCCTCCTTCGTTCGTTTATTCATTGGCATGCAATATCCTGCTGCGTGTCGTCAACGAGCGAGTGTTCCATTACCGGCCGCGTTTCTTTCATCTTTCATTCACCGACGGACGTTCAATGTGTGTGGCATGAATTAATTAACAGAAATTCCATGCCCACCACATGTCATCAATTAGCTCAGGGGCATTCAATGCCCCCCCCCCCCCAACCCCCCGCACCGCGTGTTATTTCATTCATTCCCTCTTTCTTATAAAGGGCATTCAATGTCCAGCGCGTATAACCCAATGCTGCAATTCATTCGCGGCAGCTGGATGTCCAGCGCTTGACAACATTCGTTCCTATGAACCCGCCGCCTGGTTATAATGATTGCATTAACTGCCAAAGCATTCAATGGCCGGACCAAGGCAATTCATTCACACCATTTAATTGTTAATTCACAACTCAAGGCTCGTGCACCAACAAAAAGGGGGGCCATCATTGTTCGTGTGCCCGATCGTTCACGGGTCACAACAACTCGAAGATGATCAGTGACGGTGGAGACATCGAGAGACATCGAGAGAGACTGCAGACACGAGACGAACAAACGGGACCGCGAGGGAGACCATCGGCTTTCACCCGCAGAGATTATTCCACGCGCGCTTTCTCTTTTTGGTCGAATGGGCAACTAAAGTTGCAGGCGTGACTCGCTACCTCTCTCTCTCTCTCGGGTTGATCATCTGTATACAGTATACACAAAGACCATATTGCCTGAGAGAGGAGCGCTGGTGCAGTGGATTCGCGACACCCGGCTATTGCTGTAAATCAGAGACGACTGATATATGTGAACCGATCCTGGGCCACCCGCAACGCCTCACCAACCCGCACTCACCGGCGGTGTTAGAATCGGGTCAAACAACCCCCCCCCCCCCCCCACCGCTACTCATGACCGACACGGCGGCTGTAAAAAAAAAGTCCGGTCTTCATCCAGCAGTGGATTGACAGAGGGCTGCAAGAGCACGTGTTATTGAATTAACACATTGACGTTAATTTCGAAACACTGCCAAAAATGGTGGCATCCGCTCAAAAGTGGGGGCCTCGTGGTGCACTATGCAATGGAATTGTGCGCCACTAAATTCAATTCGATATAAATAGTTCACGTTTGGGATCCAATGGTAATAATGACGCTGCATTTGTTGTTTACGTGGTGCATATTGTTGTGGTTGGTATTGGACTGTGTGCGTGTGTTTGCGTGTGGGAAGCGGTAGCGCGCTGCGCTACGAACTCGGCGACCCACATTCGATTCCCGCTCACGGCCAACGCCAGTGACGATTATCTAAACCGGTCACGTGCCTCCCGTAGGTCGACTCAGCCTTATATGACTACCTGGTTGCGGTGTGTATACATCGTCACGAGAGAGACAAAGGCGGCCGGGCGTGGTGGTGGCAAATCAGCACCCCGTTGTGTGCCGTGCCAGCCCTCATTCGTTGCTCGCTCACAGCACTCAAAAGTCGGTGATGGTTACACGAGGGGGATCTTTATCTTGTTTGCGTGTTTAGTCCGCTGCGTGTATCCGCTAAGTTGAGTTAATTAGGCGTCGTCGTCTTATTGCATCACGACTTCCACATGGTAACGATAATTAAGCGCGGCTCTCCGATATGCTATGCGTTCACGAAGGCGCGCCGTAAATAGCCCACAGGGCATCGGGGCATTTATATACCGCAAGAGGGATATGACGACGTACTTACTTGTGTGTGGGATACGTGTAAGACGTAGCAAAAGTAAATGCAACCGTATGAAGCTTGACACCGTCATCTTACAAATGGTAAGACGATGCCGTGCACTGTTTGATGAGCACGAGTAAGAGTGGTCGACATTTGCACAGGGTTTCCCTTCGCTTTATTCGGTAGTAGATGCGTTCCAAAAAAAAGGGGGCGCACAAAGCGAAACCGCACGAGGAGACAGCTGCTTGCCGGGTAGCGCACACAGTATATATACACACACACACAGTACACACTATTAAATGTTGTCCCACGTCCGATCGCACAACCTCGCATCAGTGAAGTCAAACCTCATCGAGCGATTTTTATTTTTGTGTGTGTAGAAATAGGTTCGCCGCATTTATGAGAAATCGCACAACAAACCGAACCCGCGTAAAGGCGAGGGACCCCTGTATCACCTTGCAGGTAAAAAGAGAGCTCATTGGCCGAGATTCGAACTCTAGGTCGCCGGGTTCATGCCGCGTTGTCAATAATAATCACCGTTCCATCTGCTCCACCCTTGTGTTATTTTAAGAGCCCATTGGGACCCGATTTGGCTTTTACAATGGAGACCTGGGTTTAAAGAGTTACAAAAGAAAATAAACACAACGAAATAAAAACACGAAACAAAAAGGCACACTGAGAACTGTTCCAACTAATTAAGAATTAAAAATAAATAGAACAAAAAATCAGTCGATTTATTTCGGCTGACGCCCGTGAAGCCAAGAAGCTAGTTTTCAGTGGCGGCGCGGATAAGAAGATAATAAGAGGCGAACGTGCGCGCATGCAAATGTGATTTACCTTCTAAAATATTTGCTTTCACACGTACCGAATACAGGATATCGCAGCTTGATTACAGCAGCTGGTAGCTGCTGTAGCGGAGAGGCAATGCAAATCCGCGTGTGTTGAGGTGAGCGGAATGATACGTGCAGCGAGATCTGACACATTCGCTCGTGGCTTTTGAAAAGTGATACAAAAAGATGTGAAATGAGAGTCTGTCGACTTGGCCTCAAACTAAGTACCTGGTGCGGTGATTAATCATCGCCACTAGGGAGACAAAAGGCCGCTCGGCGTGGTTGTTGGCCACCCACACCCTCGTGTGCCGTGCCGGCCTTCATAGGCGCTTCTCGCTAACAGCACTTGCCCCAAAAGTCTGGTATGGCTATACGGAGCGTCTTTGTCTTGTGTACGATGTAGACTGCGCCAGCGGTCAGCGCGCTGCGCTACGAACCGAGTTCCATTCCAGCTTAACAACCAACATTAGCACGGTCGGCTACGTACGGTGCGAAAGAAGTTGAACATACACACAACCTTGGTGACTAATTGCTGAACCGGTCCTGCGCTTTCACTAGGTCGACTCGGCTTTAAATGCTTCTTTCGTACTCCGTGTCAACATCGCCGCTGGAGAGACTAAGGCAACCGGACGAGGTGCTGGCCACCCGCTCTCTCGTGTGCCGTGCCGGCCTTCATTCGGTGCTCGCTAAAAGCACTTGTCCCCAACAGTCTGTCAAGGCTATACGGGGGAGCTTTGTATTTTGTTGTTGTTGTTGCAGGCTGCTCGCACGCGTTAACTCGCGGAGGCCCGAGAGTCGCTCTAAATAGCCGAGGGTAGAGCAGTACAAATGTAATTGGTATCCGTACTGTCCAACTGCTGAGATATCGCAATTAATTTTAAAGCACGACCCTCAAACATCGCCTGCATATATATGAGCAAACGCGCTCGATACCTCACATTTATTTAAAAACAACACAAAAACACAACTACGAATGATACTACCGAAGAGGCACGTGGAGCGAAACGTCGGACTTTATGCGGAACAACCTGAAAACACATCAGAGATCGTCAGTTATCGTGTTTACTCGATGAAACATCAATTATATAACAACAACAAAAACTAGTCGACATACACCAACAGCCGTAAGCTCTCATTAATCAAATGGGCTCGATTCGCGTGTTCTGGACCGATGTTTATTTTAGGTCTCGGCGAAAATCGACTAAATCCGGCACGTTTCGGAAGTGTCGCCAACGCGTCCATCCAGCCCTCTTGTTACCCCGAACTGCTTTGCTTCAGTGCAGGATTAAGCGAGTGAGGGGCCTGTAGCATATGTTATAAAGGGGCCCTGAACAAAAAAAACACACAAATATTAAAACACACACATATTTTTACTTGCATAGTAAAGTCATTGTATTTTTTCATTTGCTATACAGCCAGATAATATGACAAATCGCTAAACTTAAACACCCAGTCATTCATAAAAGTTGAAGGCAGTATAGTACTATAGTAATAGAGCAAGTGCAGAATCACTGATCCGGAATTGATAGCTTGAAAGTATATAGCGCAGGGCCCTTTGAAGTGCGGGGCCCGCAGCTACATATGTAGCTACTTATGCTACATATGTAACTACTTTTGCTACATATGTAGCTACTTTTGCTACATATGTAGCTACTTTTGCTACATATGTAGCTACTTTTGCTACATATGTAGCTACTTTTGCTACATATGTAGCTACTTTTGCTACATATGTAGCTACTTTTGCTACATATGTAGCTACTTTTGCTACATATGTAGCTACTTTTGCTACATATGTAGCTACTTTT